ACACAGTCGCAGTATTGGTGAACCTATTGATGCCGGCTTCAGAGGAGTATTTGAAGCCCTATTGAAGCCGGCTTCAAACTGGCTTCAAATACCGTCCCAGTATTGGGGAAGCTATTGAAGCCGGCTTCATGGGAAGTGATGGTAATACTGGGACTTGGGGCAGGCCGCGAACTAAATTTCTGCTGGTGGCATCCTGAGGCCAGCGGCTGACCCATGACGATTCCTCATGGTTACCCGTCTATTTAGAATTTTAAATATCCCGAGTCCCCTCGGCTTCAAATACCGTCCCAATATTGGGGAATCGTATTTGAAGCCCTATTGAAGCCGGCTTCAAACTGGCTTCAAATACCGTCCCAGTATTGGATCACCGTGAAATAGAGTACGGCACCAGTTTAAGTAAATTGGTGACGTGGACCCCTTATACGAAATAACACAGCCTAAAGTGATGGTAATACTGCAACTTGGGGCAGGCCGCGAACTATAAATATCCGGAGTCCCCTCGGCTTCAAATACCGTCCCAGTATTGGGGAATCGTATTTGAATTGAAGCCGGCTTCAAACTGGCTTCAGATACAGTCGCAGTATTGGTGAACTATTGATGCCGGCTTCAGGGGAGTATTTGAAGCCCTATTGAAGCCGGCTTCAAACTGGCTTCAAATACCGTCCCAGTATTGGGGAAGCTATTGAAGCCGGCTTCATGGGAAGTGATGGTAATACTGGGACTTGGGGCAGGCCGCGAACTAAATTTCTGCTGGTGGCATCCTGAGGCCAGCGGCTGACCCATGACGATTCCTCATGGTTACCCGTCTATTTAGAATTTTAAATATCCCGAGTCCCCTCGGCTTCAAATACCGTCCCAATATTGGGGAATCGTATTTGAAGCCCTATTGAAGCCGGCTTCAAACTGGCTTCAAATACCGTCCCAGTATTGGATCACCGTGAACTAGATAACGTCACCAGTTTAAGTAAATTGTGACGTGGAACCGCCTGATACGAACTAACCCCAAGCCTAAAGTGATGGTAAAATACTGCAACTTGGGGCAGGCCGCGAACTATCCATATCCGGAGTCCCCTCGGCTTCAAATACCGTCCCAGTATTGGGGAATCGTATTTGAATTGAAGCCGGCTTCAAACTGGCTTCAGATACAGTCGCAGTATTGGTGAAGCTATTGATGCCGGCTTCAGGGGAGTATTTGAAGCCCTATTGAAGCCGGCTTCAAACTGGCTTCAAATACCGTCCCAGTATTGGGGAAGCTATTGAAGCCGGCTTCATGGGAAGTGATGGTAATACTGGGACTTGGGGCAGGCCGCGAACTAAATTTCTGCTGGTGGCATCCTGAGGCCAGCGGCTGACCCATGACGATTCCTCATGGTTACCCGTCTATTTAGAATTTTAAATATCCCGAGTCCCCTCGGCTTCAAATACCGTCCCAATATTGGGGAATCGTATTTGAAGCCCTATTGAAGCCGGCTTCAAACTGGCTTCAAATACCGTCCCAGTATTGGATCACCGTGAAATAGAGTACGGCACCAGTTTAAGTAAATTGGTGACGTGGACCCCTTATACGAAATAACACAGCCTAAGTGATGGTAATACTGCAACTTGGGCAGGCCGCGAACTATCAATATCCGGAGTCCCCTCGGCTTCAAATACCGTCCCAGTATTGGGGAATCGTATTTGAATTGAAGCCGGCTTCAAACTGGCTTCAGATACAGTCGCAGTATTGGTGAAGCTATTGATGCCGGCTTCAGGGGAGTATTTGAAGCCCTATTGAAGCCGGCTTCAAACTGGCTTCAAATACCGTCCCAGTATTGGGGAAGCTATTGAAGCCGGCTTCAGGGGAAGTGAACGGTGTAATTACTGGTACTTGGGTGCAGGCGCGGAAACTAAATTTTCCTGCTGTGGCATCCTGAGGCCAGCCTGACCCATGACGATTCCTCCATGGTTACCCGTCTTTTGAATTTAAATATCCCGAGTCCCCTCGGCTTCAAATACCGTCCCAGTATTGGGGAATCGTATGTGAAGCCATATTGAAGCCGGCTTCAAATTGGCTTCAAATACCGTCCCAGTGGATGACTGTGAAATAGAGTACGGCACCAGTTTAAGTAAATTGGTGACGTGGACCCCTTATACGAAATAACACAGCCTAAGTGATGGTAATACTGCAACTTGGGGCAGGCCGCGAACTATCAATATCCGGAGTCCCCTCGGCTTCAAATACCGTCCCCGTATTGGGGAATCGTATTTGAATTGAAGCCGGCTTCAAACTGGCTTCAGATACAGTCGCAGTATTGGTGAAGCTATTGATGCCGGCTTCAGGGGAGTATTTGAAGCCCTATTGAAGCCGGCTTCAACCTGGCTTCAAATACCGTCCCAGTATTGGGGAAGCTATTGAAGCCGGCTTCATGGGAAGTGATGGTAATACTGGGACTTGGGGCAGGCCGCGAACTAAATTTCTGCTGGTGGCATCCTGAGGCCAGCGGCTGACTCATGACGATTCCTCATGGTTACCCGTCTATTTAGAATTTTAAATATCCCGAGTCCCCTCGGCTTCAAATACCGTCCCAATATTGGGGAATCGTATTTGAAGCACTATTGAAGCCGGCTTCAAACTGGCTTCAAATACCGTCCCAGTATTGGATCACCGTGAAATAGAGTACGGCACCAGTTTAAGTAAATTGGTGACGTGGACCCCTTATACGAAAAAACACAGCCTAAGTGATGGTAATACTGCAACTTGGGGCAGGCCGCGAACTATCAATATCCGGAGTCCCCTCGGCTTCAAATACCGTCCCAGTATTGGGGAATCGTATTTGAATTGAAGCCGGCTTCAAACTGGCTTCAGATACAGGCGCAGTATTGGTGAAGCTATTGATGCCGGCTTCAGGGGAGTATTTGAAGCCCTATTGAAGCCGGCTTCAAACTGGCTTCAAATACCGTCCCAGTATTGGGGAAGCTATTGAAGCCGGCTTCATGGGAAGTGATGGTAATACTGGGACTTGGGTCAGGCCGCGAACTAAATTTCTGCTGGTGGCATCCTGAGGCCAGCGGCTGACCCATGACGATTCCTCATGGTTACCCGTCTATTTAGAATTTTAAAATATCCCGGTCCCCTCGCTCAATCCGTCCCAGTATGGGGAAATCGTATTGAAGCCCTAATTGAAGCCGGCCTTCAACTGGCTTCAAATACCGTCCCAGTTATTGGATCCTGTGAAATAGAAGGTAACGGGGCCCCAGTTTTTAAGTAAATGTGACGTTGCCCCTGATCTAACTAACACAGCCTAAAGTGATGGTAATACTGCAACTTGGGGCAGGCCGCGAACTATCAATATCCGGAGTCCCCTCGGCTTCAAATACCGTCCCAGTATTGGGGAATCGTATTTGAATTGAAGCCGGCTTCAAACTGGCTTCAGATACAGTCGCAGTATTGGTGAAGCTATTGATGCCGGCTTCAGGGGAGTATTTGAAGGCCTATTGAAGCCGGCTTCAAACTGGCTTCAAATACCGTCCCAGTATTGGGGAAGCTATTGAAGCCGGCTTCATGGGAAGTGATGGTAATACTGGGACTTGGGGCAGGCCGCGAACTAAATTTCTGCTGGTGGCATCCTGAGGCCAGCGGCTGACCCAAGACGATTCCTCATGGTTACCCGTCGATTTAGAATTTTAAATATCCCGAGTCCCCTCGGCTTCAAATACCGTCCCAGTATTAGGGAATCGTATTTGAAGCCCTATTGAAGCCGGCTTCAAATTGGCTTCAGACACAGTCCCAGTATTGGATCACTGTGAAATAGAGTACGGCACCAGTTTAAGTAAATTGGTGACGTGGACCCCTGATACGAAATAACACAGCCTAAAGTGATGGTAATAAGCCCCGCCGAGTTCCTCTGCCACCTGGTGGCCTACCTCTTCCGCGTCCTTTAGGTCAAGGGTAGCCAGCTCAAGTACACCGAAGCCCCGCAATGCCAGATGCTCGTGGCATTTATCCAGAACCGCACGCCTCTGTGCAAGCGCGCTATCCATTAAGGACGGAAGTACGACGGGACTCCCTATCCCAGGGAGTTACCGGTCCCGCGCCCTGCACGTCCGGCGAAGCCGTAGGCAGGGCGGTCGGACTTCCCGGCACCTCGCCCCCAGCGCTAGCCGGAACCACTGTGGTAGCCGGTGACGGAGGGCTCGCCGTCTGCGAAGCAGAGGGGGTGCGAGGAGAGGCTGCCATTCTCGCTTGGCTAGATAGCCAAGTTCCCCTCTACTTCAAATTTACCCCCCTGATGGGGGACTTTATCCAGAATGGCCACGGTCATAAATGCTTGTAGCCATTCTAAGTCACAGCTATCCTGTCTTCGCATGCCAGACGCAACTCTCCTGCGAACGACGATAGCGGTCGAAACTCCGTTTCTAGCGAAGCTACCTTCAATAGCTTCGGGAGTAAATAGGTTAGCTAGCACACATAGTCGTAACTCGTTCCTCGTCACGAGGTACTCGGCGGCCATGCAACTCCACAGGAGTCTGCCGAATGAATTCGGGAGCGGTAGCTCTTGCATGCAGGCTTCAAGGGTGGTCAAGGGCACGGAGAGGTTGGGGTTCTTCAACAGGTCCAACTTCCAGTTGAGCACGCACCAGCCGATAGCTTCGGACTCGCGCAGCTGGAGGAGTGCTGCAGGGCAATTCTAATATTAGTATATAAAATTATATAAATATATAATATATGCATATTGAATACCAATAATGATAATGCCCTACACCTACACTTAAGTTTCAATCAGTGAAAAGTTGTAAGTTATAAGTGGTACAGGATACCGTATACCGTATACCAGGATACCGTGTACCGGATCCCGTATCCCGGGATAACTAGACAACTGGATTGCCGCCACACGTAAATGCACGTGCCACACACATTACATGAACAATCAAACTACTTTACAAAAGCTACTAAATTTTATTAAGCAAACAACAGTAACAACAGTTCATACGATGACTATCCCTGACTCTACTCGCTCTCCTCATGTGCCTCTGGAGCATTCCAGGGTCAGTGGCGTGTCGTTCAACTTCTTGCAAAGATCCGTCCCGGTCGTGCTGTCATCGTTCTTCAAGGCTTCTTGCAAAGGCTCCAACTTAGCAACTGCAGGGCCCAAAGTCGACTTTTTGATCTGGCTGATCTGCTCGGCAACAGACATCAGGGTTGCACCGAGCTTGCGGGTTGCGCCCACCTCCTTCAGCTGCTCATCATCCATGCCGCTGCCTTGGGACGTGGCCGTGGAAATCTCAATGAGATGCACGACGCAATTGTTCACGGTCGCCTTCTCCTCGTACTTGTCGAGGGCAAAGATATCTGGCTGCTGGTCCTTCGGTTTCCTGGCATCCTCCACAACTTGTGCTAAACGCAGTTGTCCTTCTGCTGCAGCACCAAGATTTGCACGAATACTGGCATCAAGAGTCAGCAGCGCCGCGGTGTGGCCAGAGTTCCTCAGAGATCTGCACCAAAGCTCTGGGCGTTCCTCGAGCTTGGAGTGCAAATTCGAAATAACGGCCGCAACGGCTTTCATCTTGTCTGGTAAAGCCACGGAACCTCGAAATTCAGTCGGAATGCAAGGGCACTGGCACTAGCTTACAATTTACAGTCCATACAACGAAGAAAGCTAAGCCAAACCAAATCGAGGAGCTGCTGTTGCATTCGGCCACGAAGTCCTTTGCAGCCCGGACGGCCTTGCTGCTGCCCAGCTTGTGGATGCCTTGCGCTGCCGCGGCGAAAGTACGTGGCTGCAGGTCCGCCTCAGCAAGTGCAGTCTTCGCTCGAACGTGAGCCGCATCTGCAACGCCAACGGCCGTGGTGTTAATCCCGGTGTCGGACAAATCTGACCAACCATCGACCTGTGTCGATTTACATAAAGTTACATAATTACATAAGTTTAAATAACTAATAATGACATAATGAAGTAATTACTAGTAATTATTAATTACAGAGTTACTGACAGTTACTGATTCATGGAATGCCGAAATGAAATGAAACAATTGGAAAGACCTACCTCGAACATCTTTGCAAGCTTGCAGAAGTTCTTGAAATTGGCGGGCTCAGCGAGCTGCTGGACTAGATTGAGCTTCTGTTCATCACCTGTGGCACTGAAGTCGTTCTGCAAAGCATCCACAGCTTTCGTCATAACGGCTGCCGTGTGCAGCCTCGCAATCTCCGTCATCTGGTTCATGAGGGTGGCCAACTGCTTGGGTTCTTCACCACTGGTCTCCAGGCTGTTGGACAGGTTGCACGTTTGCAGATGGCAGACTTTGGCAGACAGCAAGACATCTGCGCACATAGAGGTACTGATGCACTCCATGTAACAGAACACGTCCCCTGCCTGCATCTTCTGCACGATCTCACGCGGGTATTTCGAGAGGATTCGCTTGCACTCGTCCCCCACAGAGGCTGCCGTGATGCACTGGGATGCGGCTTGTTCGACCCGTGCCATCCTCTGCCTCACGTGGTGGCTAAGACTAACTAGGATTCAGGATTCAGGATGAGTCCTAATTTGTGAGTACGACATCGACTCGGATTGTTTCAACGCATCAATCGAGTTGCTTCCCGGCACCGACGCGCAGAAGTGACTTTGTGGACTCCATGAGCAAAGCCTTCCGATCCACCACGGCACGGGCAATCATGTTCTCCACGGCTGTTCCACCGGCCTGATGCAAGCTGGCTACAACTACTCCCATCACGCATCACTGGTATTATTTTATGCATCCTGCAAATTCGGCTCCCTCCCCTCCCCCCTAAAATCTTCCAACCTCAAAATACCACCAAACTGGCGGCAGGTCCAAACCTAAAACTTTAAAACCTTAGCCTATAACTAGTAACTAGCGCCCTGATGTATCTCAATCACATTTGCTGATGCTGCGAACAGATTTCCAATGCCACTGTTCATCCAAATGGCCGGATTGAACCCAATTCGCAAAGTGACTGGTTTGCGCAACTGCGCAAGCATCGCCCATGCGCAGGTTCTTCAGAGCAGGATTCATAGCCTGCTCCGCAGATAGACGCGGATCAAAAACTTGAACGATGCAGCTTGCGACACTGGCATCGGACCAACAACAGCGTTCCGAACCAGCCTCTGGTGCCCAATCTCGAAGGAATAATAAACGTCTCTGAGATCCGTACCTAAGAGCACCAACCGTTCATCGTCCTGCATCGGGATGTCAATCAAGTTCGCGCTGAAGCTGCGGAATAAACGAATCTGCCTGGTGGTATTTCGCGAGTGTTGAAAGGTCGGCTATCGAAAACCAGCCGATCAGCCCTCAAATCCTTCACGACAACGAATAACCCAGACTGGTAACCTGGAGAAATTTCGGACTGCCCCACAAACCCTAAGCGGCCTGCGGCATCCAGCTTCTTTAGAAGCTTCCACTTCTCAATGCGGGATGCTTGGATCTTGACCCTCGGTGGGCGAGGGGCTTCGTGAGGGAGCAGCGCTTGATCAATCAGCCTGTCGTAGATAGCTTGCCCTCGGGGGTCAGGGAAAGGCATGGGGTTGAATTTAGGAGCGCCCTTGAAATCCAAACGGACAGCTTGAATGGGTATCGCAGCAGTCGCATTAGCTGCACTTGAAACAACCCCAACAACATCGCCACCTCAAGCCTTCTGAATCCCAGGCTTCAACGCGCAACGAGGGACACTGTCACCGAAGTAAGTACGAAGAAGAAAAGGCAGGGCACCAACAGAACTGCGAAGGCACCCGGTCAACCCGGACGAGAAGTCCGGGATGTCAAAATGATCAGTGATGGACGAGAGCATTGTCTCGATAGCCTCGATTTTGGAAGCTGTCCTTCCCATCACTTCAGCAGTCACAGCTTCAGCTTCAATCCACCCAGACATAAGCCGCTCAAAATTTCTTACAATCGTCCAAGAAGGAAAGGGGCGAGCCTTATGAGGGAAGTTGCATGCCCAAGCCAAACCCGAACAGCATCGGTGAGGCCGGTTTCGCAGTGACCTACGATTGAAGTCGACAACGCAACCAACTGTATGAAGTTCTTGAATAGGTTCGGGGTAGGTCCAAACGATGGGGATGCCATGGGTCTCAAAAGTATATGCTATCTGCTTTGCACGCTCCTCAACATCACTCTTCCCAGCTCCAAAGATAGCGACATTGTCAACATACGTAGATGTTATCGAAGGCGTATCCCAAAGCTGAGGAGCGGGAAGTTTCTCGGAGCGACTGGGTTCAGGAGAAGACTCTCGGACTAAATGGGCTATCGTTTCAATTGCAAAGAAGAGGGCCCACGTCCATCCCATAGGCATCACTCCTATGGCTGGATATAGGACCTTGTCCTGATTGAAGTTCAAGGCTCGGCCACACTCCTCACTATAAACATCGGAGATCCTGAAACCGTGCTCAACCCAGAAAGCTTTGCTACGTGGCATGTCGATGCCAAACCACGATGCCATCTCTCGGATTTCAAACTGATAAAAACAATCCGAAACGTCCATTTCGGTGCCCCAGCCGACAGAACTAGCATCTTCACCGAGATTGGCCAGAACGGATTCATCCGAAAGATCAAGATCAGTGAAAGTTGCTGCACTTCCAAGTCGCGTGACGGGGCGGGGGAGGAGGATGTGCATTCGTCAACCTCGCGTCAACTATCATACGAATGGCTGAAGGGTCTTCACGAAGAAAATCCCGATCTTGCTACGGATGGACGTCCGAAAAGTCAAAATGCCTGCATCATGCAGGCGCCTGAGAAAGTCAATACGAGCTTCCTCACACCCTCGCAGAGTAGGATCCCAATAAGGCTGCTTCGGAACCCTCCCAGGATTGTCATTAACGAACCTACCGAATTCAGCCCGACTCCTCTCGATATGAACTTCTTTCCGCTGTAAGACAGGTAGAACATGCCCTGGCAGAAGCTCTCCAAGAGGTTTGGGCTTGACTGTCGACCGCAAAATCTTGAGTTTCTGGGGGTCGTAACTTGCAATGTTTCCGGGCTCCCCATCATAAAGGTTATGAGATCTCAACAACTCCTGTAACGCCGATGCAGGCGTCATATCATCAGGACGATCCCCAGCTTCACGAATGCACTCATGAAGACGATCGGCCATCAACTCTTGGACGGCCGTGCAGGGACGAAGAGATTGCTGCTTGAAAGGATCATTGAATTTGAAGCCTGCGAGGTGAATTGACCTAATCACTCGCGTAGGTAGGCTGGCTTGCATACTGACCGGCCCCAAAGGGAAAAGGAAATCCGTGAGCTCGCAGATCATCCCTCTTGCCAGCCATGGCCCCGAAAATTCTACAGCAAGGCAGGAGGGCCAACAACCGACCTTGCTGATGTCAAGGGACTAGCTGATGGTGCCAGCGCTGCTCTCAGTGCCGGCTTTGGCTTTCCCTTTCGGTGCACCGCGTCCACGACCACGCCCTCGCTTGCCACCATTCTCACCACTCGAGCTTGCTTGACCGCGGCCTGTCCCAAACTCCTCCTTGTACAAACGCGTTTGCTTCTGAATGTTGGCAGGGTCTTTCAACATTGTTAAAGGATAATGTGACCGCTTGGCCTTGCGGTCCCACGCTCTGCTCCATAACAAGATCGAGCCCGGTGTAGTCGGGCGAGGTGGGTGATCTGGCGACTGCAGTCTCAATCTGTATGAGTCGTCTCACTGCAAGCTCTAGGCACAGCAGGTTTGAGACATCCAACTGATCAACTGACAGTGCAACCCTCAATACGTCACAGAGGACTTTATGTTCGTGGACAGCAGCTGAAAACTGAGAGACGCCAGATGATTGAACCCATGAAAGATGATATGTCGTCATGTCTGTAGACCCGTCTCGAACCGCTTCAAGATACTCTTTGACAGCCCTAGGTCCTAACAGGGGCCAATCATCCATCGGAGTGCTTCTCAACATCCAGAAAACGTCTGCCGTTCGAGTCCCTATGGTCACCGAGCAGCCTTGCGTCGCCCCAGCGTCTTCTCTTTACTCACAAGCCACTCGGCTTTCTCGGCAACGCTCACTCTTTTCGCATAGATCTCCTCACCGTTACGCTCCACAATCGCCGAATCTCTCAGGATCACTGCGCCATCAATTTCTTCGTCAGTGATCTGATCCCCAAAGTCCGGTCGCGATGTATCTACGATTAGCCATTCATAGGCCTCCACGTCCATGATGATGTCGTCATTCAGCAGATTTGCCATGATCTTTGCTCGCCTTTTGTATCCTTCGAGCTCGGCTTTGGACAAGGGGTCGAAAGCTTACACGGCAGGAGCCTCTGCCGCCGGAAACTCCCGCCGTCTTTCTAACACGATATGGCGAGTCGTGTTCAAGTTAATCGGCTGAAGATCGCCATCTGGAGTAAGGCCTATCCACATACCAGCCTCGGTTTTCTCGAGAAGAAGCCGGTGGTGCCAAAAGAAGCCATTGGCGTCATGAGGGAGATGCACAATAATTTGGGGCTCCTTCACATCCAGAGTCCTAGCCACTGCTGCCATTGTCAGCTTTCTGTCTCAGCCGACGAAGATCCCCAGGGGTTAAGGGCCCAACGCGTTCAACACGGCTCAATGACTCCGAAATGGTTGGAAGATCTACCTCGTCTTCTGATTGCCCGTCTCCAAAAGCGAGTGATGGGTGGACTTGATTTCGCCCAGCACTTGCAGAGCTCCAGTTCCACACTAGAACCAAACCCAAGCAAACAACCAGGATGAGTTCAGTCCAACCTGCGGCACGAAGCAAAAATCTCTGGACCTCTGATTCGCGTTGGCAAACCTCAAGGGCACTACTGGACATTTCCAAAAGCCGCTGACCTCGAGCTAGCTCCAGGCGAAAAGAATGCAGGTCTGCGGTGAGTGCCTCTAACTCGGGCCAGGTCGTTCAAGAAGCCACCGCCCTATGTGGCTTCCCAGGACTATGGCGATCACGGAGTGACCACTAAAGTTTAGCATCCAATCGTCTCGAAAAAGGCTACGGAGCAACTTACAAGTGGGGATGTCAAGCAGCACTGGGCACAAACATCGCAAGCTTTACATTGAATCCAGGCGAGAAACCCATATATGGTGCCGCGTCGCAGGCCCCCCCCCCCCATGAGATGTAACCTGGACGTGTATCCCCTCGCTAGGCGTACAGGAACACAGGCACTCAGGTGTCTCTTTGCTACAGGCGCACAGCTGTAGTCCAATGCACTAGAACCTTGAGCAACAGGCATGGATACATGCAAGTGATACGTGAAACAGACAGGCACCTGGATGTGTAACATTCAGTGTTTCAACCAGGCACAAATTTAAAACACGTAGAGCTGCATGGCCGTGGAGTCGGCATTCAACTAGCCTGTTATTGCTCTCGGTCGAATTAGCGGAGTATTGAGCTACATCTGCGACTTGAAGAGAATCTATACATCTCTCACCTGAAGACAGCTTCAATGAAAAGAGCAGAACACGCACGAAAACGCAAACGGATCTTCAACTGAAAACTTTTCTTGAAAGTTGCCCACT